ACCATGAGGAACTCAAGGTCTTCATTGGGGACACCTCGGTCACCAGGGAGACTTGTAGGACCATGTGGAGACCCCATAAAACATCTCCGGGAGACCCTGGGGACACCATGAGGGGTTCAAGACCACCATGAGGAACTCAAGGTCACCCTGAGGAACTCAAGGACACCATGAGGAGCTCAAGGACACCGTGAGGAGCTCAAGGACACTATGAGGAACTCAAGGTCACCATGAGGAACTCAAGGTCTTCTTTGGGGACGCCTTGGTCACTGGGGGGACTTGTAGGACAATGTGGAGACCCCATAAAACATCTCCGGGAGACCCTGAGGACATCATGAGGAACTCAAGGGCACCATGAGGAACTCAAGGTCACCATGAGGAGCTCAAGGTCACTCTGAGGAGCTCAAGGTCACCATGAGGAGCTCAAGGACACCATGAGGAACTCAAGGTCACCATGAGGAACTCAATATCTTCTTTGGGGATGCCTCGGTCACCAGGGAGACTTGTAGGACAATGTGGAGACCCCATAAAATGTCACCAGGGGACCCTGAGGACACCACAAGGAGCTCAAGGTCACCATGAGGAACTCAAGGTCTTCTCTGGGGGGTCACTGGGGGGACTTGTAGGACAATGTGGAGACCCCATAAAACATCTCCAGGAGACATCATGAGGAGCCCAAGGCCACCATGAGGAGCTCAGGGTCACCATGAGGAGCTCAAGGTCCTTGGGGATCCCTTGGTCACTGTGGGACTTGTAGGACAATGTGGACACCCCATAAAACATCTCCAGGGAACCCCAAGGACACCACCAGGAGCCCAAGGCCACCATGAGGAGCTCAAGATCTTCTTTAGAGACCCCTCAGTCACCAGGGGGACTCGTAGGACAATGTGGGGACCCCATAAAATGTCTCCAGGGGACCCCAGAGGTATCATATGGGGACTTGTAGGGCTTCTTTGGGGACCCCAAGGCCACCACAAGGAAATCAAGGTCACCACAAGGCGCTCGCACCACGGGGACCTCCAGGTCTTCTTTGGAGACCCCTTAGGTGTGTAGGACAATGGGACTCGTAGGACAATGTGGAGACCCCATAAAACGTCTCCGGGGCATCCCAAGGGCTTCTTTGGGGACCCCGAGGCCACCACGAGAACTTCTGGGTCGTCTTTAGCAGGACAATGTGAGGACCCCCTAAAACATCTCCAGGGGACCCCAAGGACATTGTGGGGACCCCGAGGTCACTGTGGGGTCTGTAGGACAATGTGGAGACCCCCTAAAACATCTCCAGGGGACCCCAAGGGCACTGTGGGGTCTGTAGGACAAGGGGAGACCCCTAAAACATCTCCAGGGGACCCCGAGGTCACTGTGGGGTCTGTAGGACAAGGGGAGACCCCTAAAACATCTCCAGGGGACCCCAAGGTTGCTGTGGGGTCTGTAGGACAAGGGGAGACCCCAAAACATCTCCAGGGGACCCCGAGGCCACCACAGGGACCCCAAAGACCCCCTATGGGGACATGGGGCTTCTCTTTGGGGACCCCAAGGCCACCCTGGAGACCCCTCGGATCTTTGGGGTCCCAGGGGCCCCCAAACCCCCCCTCAGGGACCCCCAGACCCCCCCTGGGGACCCCCAGAGCCCCCCCCAGTATGGCCCAGTTCATCCCAGTGCCTCCCCCCTGAGTTCTCCATCACTGTGGGACATCCCAGTACAGACCAGTATGAACCAGTACAATGTCCCGGCTGGAACTCCCGGATCTACGTTGCCTTTGACTGCACCAGTACGGACCAGTATGAACCAGTACGATGTCCTGGCTGGGAACTCCCGGATCTGCGTTGCCTTTGGCTGCACCAGTACAGACCAGTACAGACCAGCATGGAGCTGGAAGGGGCTGGGGGCCCGATTGGGAGCCCCACGTGTGCCTTGGGTCAGACCAGTACAGACCAGTATGAACCAGTACAACGTCCCGGCTGGAACTCCTGGATCTGCATTGCCTTTGGCTGCACCAGTACAGACCAGTATGGACCAGTACAGACCAGTACGGACCACTATGAACCAGTACAACGTCCCAGCTGGAACTCATGGATCTACATTGCCTTTGGCTGCACCAATATGGACCAGTATGGCAGCCAAACTGGGACCAGTGCCTTGACATGGCCTTCAGCTGTCCCAGTATGGACCAGTACGGACCAGTACAGACCAGTACGGCAGCCGAACTGGGAGCTCTTCACCCGCATGGCCTTGTGTTCTCTGGACCAGTATGGACCAGTATGGACCAGTATGGGCCATTACAGCGTCTTGCCCGGCATCTCTCCACCCACGTGGCCTTGTGTTCTCCCAGTACAGACCAGTACGAACCAGTATGGACCAGTATGAACCAGTACAGCGTCTTGCCCAGGAACTCTTCGCCCGCATGGCCTTCTGTCCTCCCAGTACGGACCAGTATGGACCAGTACAGCGTCTTGCCTGGGATGTCTTCACCCACGTGGCCTTCTGTGCTCCCAGTATGGACCAGTATGGACCAGTGCAGCGTCTCGCCCAGGAACTCTTCACCTGCATGGCCTTCTGTCCTCCCAGTATGGACCAGTACAGACCAGTATGGACCAGTATAAACCAGTAGAGCGTCTCACCCGGGATCCCTTCACCCACGTGGCCTTGCGTGCTCCCAGTACGGACCAGTACAGACCAGTATGGACCGGTAGGGTGCCCTGACTGGGACGCTGATGCACCTTCGGGTTCTCCCAGTATGGACCAGTACAGCCCAGTTCCTGCCCCCCCCCC